CATTTTATTGACCGAACCAGGGATGACAAGTGAGTCAATCTTGCCCAGCCCCGAGCATCGAGCCCCGGACCGGTGGTACTGCTGCTAGCCACTACGCCACCGGACTTGTATGTTATTAATAGAGAATATAAATTTGATAAGTAACCTGAATTTTAAATAAATGTATGACAGATCTCACTAATTTTCATCATCTGCTATATCGACCACATGCAGCAAAGACACCATAATTCATAGGAATGCAATGGAGTAATTTATTAAAATTTCAATAAAAAATATAAGTTTTCTAAAAAAACACTTATACTGATTTTAATGGAAAACGTAGCACATAAATAAATGTATTTTACACTTAAAAATTTTAAAAAAAGGCAAAATATTTCTTACACAGCTTTTGAAACATGTTTTTCTACTTTAGGCATAAAAATATTTAATCCAAAATCATTTAAAAGGACGAAACAAAATCAATATTGGCCAAACATTGGAAAATAATTAATACGAATAACTTACTTAAACACACAAAGAGAGGTGGTCACTTAGTTATGAACGAAATGTTAATTACAATGTTATCAGAACGATTACAAAAATAGGAAAAATATCAAGTGAATGGGGAAAACGTTTTGGCTTGAGTGTAAAAGGAAAGTAAAAGGAAATATGCGTAATATACAATATGGGTAAATTTTGATTCCGGTTTTCGAAGTATTTTCTACGAAAAAAGAATTTTTGAAATACACTTAATGCTGTATCAGAGCAGAGGTTACATGGAGAAGTTTTGACAGATTATATTATTTTTTTGGTGAAATTTGTTTTGTTTAACTTTAAATAACTTGTTGAATTCTGAAGGATTCGAAACAGACTTACTATCCTGAACCTACAGCTACAAACTTTCTCTTTAATATCTATGTAAATGTGCTGTTAAAGCACTAAAACAGAGTGCAACGCTTTTATAATACAATGAAAACAAAATGCAATTTTAATCTAAGTGTTTAAGTTAGATGACTGTACCTTGCAGAAGACGATAATATTGTTTTCTCTGTCTGTTTACTAAAGCGGCCGTTTCCTGAGAATTCCCAAAAGTTTATAATATATAAAATTTCAGGACAATATAAGTGGAAGAAAAAGTTTTCGAAATGTGCAATGTACCACGTAGAAGCTTGAAGCCGCATATAAATTCGGTAAAAGTATTATAATTTACCTAAAGTAAAAAGATAAGATTAACTTAACTGAGTAGTTCAAATTAATTTGCTAGGATTTAAAAATTGACTGATCAGACGTAAATATTCTGAAGCTGTTAGAGAAATCATGAACATTTTTAAAAAGTCTAAAAGGGCTCACATTTTAATGGTCGCTTAAAAGTGTTTGTTAGTATTTTTCTACAAGTATGTTCTTGTTGAGCTCCTACTCTACCAGGCTGCTGTTGCATTCACTCCTGCTAATCTATTCCTTTTTGTCTTTTTAGCTTTATTATTAAAAGTAATTTTCTTCAAATTTTAGCTATATACATTTCAACAGCAAAATTTTAAAAAAATTAAAAGTTGTATGTGTTTAGAATTTCATATGAGTGTTAAGTGTGGGCATATATTTTTCTATTTTTTCAGGCATTACAGTTTCTTAGTAAAATGATCTTAAAACGTTTTTTTCTGTCTTATTTATATATTTATTCTTTATACTATTATTAATTAAATATCATGTTCTTCGCACTTACGCTGCAAAAAATTCAGTTGAATAGATATTTAATAGGTTATTTACAGATGGATAGAGAATAAGGTCATTTATATATACTAGACGTCTTTAAATGCCATCATCTCCGTTATGCTCCTACTAACGTCCTTCTCCGAATGACCGCGCAGTTCACCCTGTCGTAGCACTCGGGATCCAAAGGTCCTTTCGCTACGGCCTTGACGCTACATCTACTCGATGACGCTTTCCCATATACATATGCTCATTTACATATAATATATGCGTAAATTTTACACTGCTAGAGACAGGAGTTACCAATTAGGAAAAAAACAGAAAAATAATTGAGCTGCTTCGGCTTAAAAATGGGCAACAGAAATTTACCGTACAAGTATCAGATTTTTCAAAAATCAATAAGTGTGCTCCTGAAATACGATGAAGGTTTCACGAAAATAAAGAATTACATGAAAACCTTCAAAGATGAGCGAGAAGTTATAGCATAACACAAGCACCAAAATCAACAACGATATGCGTTATTATTTCTGATTAATCATCAAATGTGATATTGATAGCTGAGGAATTGCAAATTAATGGAGAGATACTTTTTCTAATTTTAAGAGAAGAATCTGGCAGGAAAAAGACTTCTATGCTGCTAACACATCACACAAATCACAGTTCGTTAGTTTCTTTTTTGGTATTTTCTAGTTGGAAATGCGGAAAACCCAGTAAGATCCTCCTGCATACGCAACTGGTTTAATGAACTTAAAATATGTTGTAGTTTCTAATGATTTTTGGCTATTTGCATATTTGAAAGTCCTTTATCTGCTTCAGGAAATGTGTTAAAATGTTTTTACATTTTAAACCAGAGTAAAAATTAACAAATTGTGTAAATAATCTGAAAATTATCAAGTCTTTAATATTAATAATCAATATTGATAGTAATCAAAGGGAGGGATAACAACTGAATTTTTATTCCAACCTTTGATTTTTATTATTTTTTACAGTTTTAAATGATGTTTAATAGATCACATTCAATTATCATTTATGTAAAATATTTTGCTCTACTAAAGAAATCAGTTATATATTTAGTGCTCTATATTTCATCAACTTCTAAAAAAAGATTTATTAAATCAATAATATTGAATTTATTAAATCAATAATATTGAATAATATTGAATTTAAATGTTCTAGTTTGAATTTTCGTTTCCAGACAGTCATATTCTCCCTCTATCTGCTTGTAGCAGGAGAAAATGCTCACGCTGTGGTCTTCTAATTGCCTTTTTTTACGTCGTTCTTTCTTCGGATGAAATGTTGCTTTCTCCCGTGGAGAAGTTAAGTTATTAGATCGGCAGCTCAGCCATTAATTTAAAAAGGAGAAGTCGTTGTAGTTTTTTCTCACTTGTTGCAGCAATTCAGGCTATTTCTACACATTCGTAATAGACTCAGTATGATTTGCATTATATGGTATCAAGATAATCTTAATTTTGGATATGAACAATTTTTCTTCAGTTGCTCAGTTTCTTCACATTGTTGTCTGTATGGTAACGAGACGGTTGAATTTTACCAAAAAGGGAGACAGAAATTTCGACATCAACCTTTAAGTACGATTTCATTTCCAACTACAGTGACACTTATGTAAAAAATGAATAAAAATTAGAAAATTAAAGACATGGAACAAATCAACGAAAAGTTTTTGAATACTTTTTTGATAAAATTTCTAGTTATCCCAGAGGAACTGATGTTGCAGCATTCCGTTTAAAACTGAGATATGAGCAACAAAATTATTAACAGATTTTAAACACATTTTGATTCCTTCCTAGCCCTATCTGTGTATTGTGTATACCCCCCAGTTTCCCTTGGAAAGTCCTCCATGAAGGCATCCCTTCCCTTAGGCAGATAGCATTCGAGGCTTTACCATAATCACACAAGTCAAACAAAATCAACCAAACCTATGTGTATATTATATGATGCCGAAGCTATGAGTGCAAAACACACTGAAATCTATTCGTTTTTAAAGGGGAGTATTTTCAAAGATAATGGTACTCTAGGCAGACAATTCAGCCCATACGCATTGGTTGACCTTGTTCGAACTACTTCTGATTTCACTTGAATATTTTTAAGCATGCTTTAATGCTTTTTGAGCAGCTCTAGACAGTAGATTCTATTGCAAGCCAACTGCATAAAAAAAATAGGTGCCAAATATCAAAATTCACTGCAGCCAGGTGCAGTTACAATGGATTTAAAGCCATGCCTAGAATATAAAAGCTGTACAACATCGAAATGAGAAAAAGTATCGTTTATCGATGAGAGTAAACGTAGCTACTGTATTGATTTTATTCTGCTAATCTGAGTGCATTTTGATACACGATTCCATTCCGCAGACTTTACTTAGATGCAGATGGCAATCAAAATATTCTTTTTTAGAAAGAAGTATTGATGGGCTCATATAGAACTGCAAATACTGTGAGCTGTTCAAGCAACCAACGGTATAGGCTATTATTTACAAGGGTATTGTACTGCCTCATTAACCTTCGCTGGCACGCATCATTGGCCTAAGTGTGTCAGTGGTGTCTTCATAAGTGGCATTATAGCAGCCCCTTAGATGATACCCTTTTTCACATGCTGCTGGAAATTCCTGTCGTTGTTGAAATAAAGTGGCTTGCATATTATTACAATTTAAATATCATCAAAAACATCTCGAATACTTCCATAAGCTCAGTTCAGAAATGAGTAAATTTTATGTAAAACTAAACAGTCTCTGGAACTCCGTACGCTGCCACTGAACAATATATCTGAGAGGGCCTTACAGGTAAATTCATCAAAACATTATTATAAAATGCTTATCTTTTACCGAAATTAAAATGGTAAAAGATTAGCACAAAAAACATGTTTAATTATTTTTGAACTTTCTAAGTATATATTTAAATATTTTATGTCTAGGATTTCTTTCCTTCTCCCTGTGCCACAACTGTTCGTAGTCAATTCAGCATCAGTTGATTTGGCAGGTGTGATATCCTGTACTGTTCTGCGCGTAGGAAATCATTTCCAAAGTCATTTAGATCACCTATTAAATCATCATAGCAAAGCATATATGAAATAAAGAAGTACATGCTTATAAAAAGAGAAGTATTGTGTCTGAAACTTGTTTGATAGTATAATAATGAATAACTATTATTCTGGATTCGGAAAACTGTAATTATATTGCGTTTTATTCTCAATTCCCACTTAATGATTTTATTCTATAGCATCCATAATAAGACATGAATTATTTAGTTTGCTAGTATTTGAATGTACGATACATGATAAAAAAATAAATGAAGGACAGCACATTTTGAACAAATTGTTTTTATTGATATTAAAAAAATTATTCTCAACTGAAAACATTTATAAGCCACACATATGTTTCATATGTATATGCATATTTATATATGTTCATACATGTACACTTAATCTGCAATAAATAAATGCGCATGCAATATTTCGGCTTAAAAAAGCATCATGCATCATTATGCGTAAACATGCAAGACCCGTTACTACTACTTTGATGTATATCTAATTTTATTTACACATCACTTCTTTCAACAACCTTAAAAAGAGAAAAATGTAGAAGAACAGTCTTCTTTTCTATAGTATAAGCACCATTGTGAACCAGCATTTTTCATTCAAAATGGAGTAAAATTAAGTATTTTATGTTTCATTATATATGATTATGTTATTTAAAGCTGTTTCAAGTCAAGACTAATGAAGAAAATTTGCAGTAAATAAGACTGTTTTTACTATTTATATTAAAATCTAAAGTATTTCGATGACGAATGAATATGTTTACAAGGCAAATATTTAAGTACTCATTTATCGGTATGAATAAAATTACTGGATTTTATAATATAGTTACAGTTCATTGCAAGCAGGGACTTCAAAATTTCCTATAAATATTTCAGTTCATTATTGATTAATACAATACTAATCAGCAACACTCTTCAGCTTGGATTCTTTAAATAAGTCTAAATAGTGTTTCTCTTCATGCTTCATTTAGACTGGATGATAAACTGCATTTTTGCTGCATAAATAAAACAACTTTACTGATTTTTGAATTTAACTTTGGGCTAACCATAAAGAGGAAAATAACACCTTTTATTTGCTATTATTATCCATTGTTATTGCCATTCAGTAACAATATTGTGATAAACATTTCAATGTTTCCATTTGTTAGTTTAATATTTCATGGGAACTAAACATTTTAAGACAAATTTCTTAATTTAATAACTCTAAATAGTGTTTCTCTTCATGCTTCATTTAGACTGGATGATAAACTGCATTTTTGCTGCATAAATAAAACAACTTTACTGATTTTTGAATTTAACTTTGGGCTAACCATAAAGAGGAAAATAACACCTTTTATTTGCTATTATTATCCATTGTTATTGCCATTCAGTAACAATATTGTCATAAACATTTCAATGTTTCCATTTGTTAGTTTAATATTTCATGGGAACTAAACATTTTAAGACAAATTTCTTAATTTAATTTGTTTTCTTTAAAGAGAAATACTTTTGCATTAACCTGACATGAAGACTGTTAAGCAAACTGTTTTTATAAATTAAAATTTCTTTCACTCATGATTACATACATGTAATTCATAATGTTGTTTCTTACGCAGAAACTTCTCTCCATTTTGATATGCTAATTCGCAAGCTAAAAGATTACTAACGTCATCAACAGCAATTAACAAAACTTTTTGGCACACTGAAAAATTTTCAATTTAGGTGATGAAATAGAATGCTATTATGACATAACAGTTTCACAGCTGAGGTTTCAATCAGTTCGAATGATAATAATTTACTTTAGGCAGCTAAAATTCTGCTTGTCAATATCTCGAAATTTAGGTATATGTTTCGATGTTAAATGATATACTTGTTATTTACAATATCTCTATTTTGGGAATTAAAGAAATTGTATCCATCATTCACTTTATAGCATCTAAATATAAACCAAGGAGATAATTATGTTGCTATAGTCGGACATTTAGAGATTGCTAAGTCGAGGAATATTACATTTCCGACATTTTTTTCCAGTGAAAGACTGAAATCATATGTAAAAATACAACATCGATGAATTCAATTCAATAAATGTAAATAATTTTATTAAAAAATTGAACATTTTAATCTTAATGTTTTAAACATTTATTTTCAATTTAACGTTTAAAACTTTACTAATTGTTTTCCTTTAAGTAATTAGAATGTAAATCCTTAGCAAATAATCATAATTAAATAGTATGTCAGATGATCTTGGGTACCATGTAAATTGGAAGCTATATATTTTACATAACAACTAATTAAATTAAACATAAAATTCAAAATGATTAATTTATATATAAAGGTATATTTGGATTAAAAGATGATAAAACTCACTAATCATTATATTTCTAACATTAATCATTATATTTCTAACAAAAGAATAAAAACTAAACTTAAAGGAAATCAATTTTTATAATATAACACCCGATAAACTTACAAAGTAATTTAGGATATTTTTAGTGATCTTAAAATCCAAATTAAAATTTTGATCGTGCCTAATGAAAAGTATAAGCTCAAAATATTTTTGTTCCAAAAGAGAGATGAAACATTTCAGGACATTAATCAAAATTTTTTTCATTTAAAATTTATTATTTTAGGATATATATACACTTAAAGTAGTATTTATTAACTGTAAAATAATTTTAGACTATTTTTGTACTTATTTATTCTGTGGCAGTTTATTTGTTTTTTTAATATGATGTTTAAAATTCACATCATAATATGATGTTATTAATACGATGTTTTTAATATAATGTTTAAAATTAATCAATAATTAAAATTTTTTACAAATAAACCTTCATTTCTTCTAGATAACTAAGTACTTACAACAAAATTTGGAACAGTCTTTAATTGAATAAAGAAAAATTGGAGATTTTATTCAACAAGCGTTTTCAATAATCTCTTTGAAAATAAATTCAATATCTTTTTCTATAACCTTTGAGAGAACTACTGTGGCACTGCATAAAATTCATGTTTTTACCATGCTAAGTTATTGCCAAAAAATTATTTTTAACAATGCACATTAATTGTAGTAGCGTTATAGCAATGAAAAACTATCGTTATATTTTATCACAAAATATAATTACACTGATGCTACCAAAAAGAAGCACAAACACTTCTCAATTTGATTAATTTCTATAGGAAATGAAGTATATGGACTAAAATGTTTCATTGACACTCCATTTATAGTCCACTTATAAAGTAAAATATTTAGAATTCTACTTTCAAATGATCAAATACCTTCAGATCTTAAATTTACACCATTTTGAGTACATAGAATATCCATAACGCACTTTCGGATGCGGCAAAAAATGAAAGGCTACCTATATTCATAAAGAAATATTTACTTAAAATAGCTGCTAAAGTGGCATAATAACGAGTATCTATCTATATACTGAAATTGTAAGCAACTTTTAAAAACGGTTTTCTCAAAATGCAACTGAGTCGAAACAAATTGTTACTATGATAAATATAGAATAGTCAGATCTATCTTAAAGACTTAAATTTTTAAAAATATTTAGCAGCAAATTTATAGCAATTCAAATCATAATTAACAAATTAATATTTTAATCACACTGTACATACCATTTTTCACCCCATCCGGTAATAGATAGAAAACACATTAGCTAGCGATTCAATTAAAAATTAATTTCCGCAAACCAGTTATAATAGAGTCAAACGCAATGAAATCTAACTCTCATTAAGAGCTCAAGAAAATGAATTTTCCCGAAGCAGCACATTGAAATTTTGGTTTAAAAGTTAATATTTGATTAGAAAACTTATACATACATTTGAGATTAAAATATTGCTCAAAATATTTAACACCAACTACTCATGAGAAATAAAAATCGCTGAATAATTCCCTATATGCACCAATTAGTTATACGTTTAAAGAGTTTAACAATCTGCTTGAAAGTAAAAAAAAATGTCCTTTCTCAAATAATATATAATTTTAAACATTTTATGGATAATTAAATTATTTTGCATTATAGCTTACATGCGTCACTCATATGCAAACGCTAAATTTCATTCACAATTCTGAATTCTGCATTAAACTTTTCAATTTCAAAATGTTAGAAGAACTGTGACAATTTATATTATTCCATTTAATTTCAACAGAGATTACTGGGAAAAAAATAACTTAGGAAATTTTATGGATGTATTCAGTAATTTATATTCAAAAATATTTTAATTTAAAAATACAGATATTAAATCTGTCAACTAATTATTATTTGCATGGTCTGTTAAGCAACAATACTCAAATAGAATGCAAGAGTTTCTTTTACTGTAGGACCTTTACTCTAATTTTATATATGACGTTTTGCACTTGACATCGACCAGAATATTTAGTGTTTAGTTACATAACAAGAAAATAAGAAACTATTCAATCTCGAAGAAACATCAGCGCATTGCATTTCCTCAATTTTAAATTAAAGATAGCTAATTTATGGATTTTTAATGATGATATAAATCAACTCCTATCAAATGTTAATATAAAATATCTCATAAAATTTACTGCTGTACAAGCATTTCTCATTTAAGCTATCGTTAATAATTGGTTCTCAAAAGCGTAAAAAACACATACAAAATGAACGTTAAAGAACATTACATTTAATTTTCGAGGATAATATATAGACATTTTGAAACCTCTGCTAATATTCCATTTGGCTACAGGCAACTAATACGAATAAAAGAACCCAGAGCTGTAAGAAACATAATGTTAAGAAAATATTCATTTCCTTTGTTTAAAAAAATTACACAAATATATGTAGCTTTTAATCAGAGAACGATAAATTTCAATGCGTCTGCGGTAAAATTCATTTTCTAATGTTAAATCCAGAATCACTGTTCTTTCATGCAAATATCAAATCAATTGTCTGGTGATCATAATACAGTTTCAATCTCTGCTATTTCCATATTAGTGAAGTTTTTGACGTAGTGTGGCCCGTAAGGGTGCAATGGATGAGTTCTGTAAGCAGGTGGAAGTGCAAAATTCGAAAGCTGTGGTTCGTTGCTCTGAAAGTAATTCCTCGTTAGGTCTCGAGGCTTGGCATAATCTGCTGACCATCTGAAAAAGAAAACAGAACGCTAGTTATTATCAAACATAAGTTAAAGAAAGATAATTTATCAAGCGGATTTATGTCAAAGCCGGTTCCTGTTGTTACCGCAGATACAGGGTTTGAATTCTTTTCTTGAAATAACTGCACGTTTTCTCAAGCATTTTAACGCCTCTCATTTGTTAACAACATTAATTAAGCCTCATTTTAACATGCCTTTTACATATAAACATAAGAACTCTAAATGTTGGATAAATACAGTTTCGGTCTTTAAAAAATTTACGTATATCAGAATCCATAAAAATGTTATTCCTTTTAATTGCCTAGCCAAGTTTTTTGATTAGGTTAACAGATATGCTGTTATTACTGATCTCCTGATCTGAAGCTGTTTAGATATCTGAATTAATCCTAAACCTAGTGATCTGAAGCTATCCTCCTGATCCGATGAAACGCATTTTAACCAAATCTAGTATTCAAATTTTATCATAGTTAAGAGGCAGGTGTCAGAGCCTGCCATTCAAAGCCTTGATAACATTACAAGTGATACTAGAATTTTCCAAGCTTTGTCTTAATTTTGATGGAAATAGCACCATGTTCTCTGGTTAACTCGGGTTCAGTTACTTAGTGACTACGAACTTTCGATGGGACTTTTAGCTCATTAAATACCTATATACCGCGAAGACGCATAAAAATTCTACTCAGGGATGCGAATACATCTTCTCAGAGATGCGAATATAGACCCAATGGTATGGAAGTGACACAGCTAATCGCATTATAGACCTTATAAATATGGTTATTAGTGGTATCGATGGCCATATTGAAGAATAAATATACATTTATGCACTAATCTCCATATAACATCGTGATTAGCTTATAAATGTAAATTCATTTTCGCATACGATATGAAATTTGATTACTTTTATAATCCGATTGCCGAGACATTTTTCGCTAAACTTACATTATGCGTTAATAAACACAAGGGGGATATTATTGTACAGAATTTAGATTAGAGTTTTTTTAAGTAAATTAAGTAGGAGAAAATTTAAATTTTTAAGATTTTGAAGCAGACTTTTCACTTTCAAAATCGAAATCCCAATCACTTTTTTTTTCTTCAATGATTAGCTTGTTGAACATTGTTGTATTATCGCTAATCGAAGTTTTCGTAATTTTCTCCCAAAGGCAGGTTTGTCGAACACTGCTGGAACACAAAGTAAAAACACCAATCTCTTAGCTTTTCCAATAATTAGATTAGTCGCTCCTCACGGATTTAGTTCATAGTTAATGAGAACATGTATATTTCTCTTAATTTGTCCAGTCTCTAAAGATAAGGGTAGATTATTTGTTTTCTTGAATGCCATTCAAAACATCAGTTCTTTACTTAGCATACGTAATTACATGTATCAAAGATAGTGACATATATTTTTTATCAATTATTCAGATATTCGTCTTGATCTTCAGTGAGATAATTAGATTTATATTTGTTAGGACTGATTTTCATGCAAAATAACTGTTATTATCTTCTTTTATTCACTGGGATCATACATATTAGAATAAGTTGTCTGAACCTTTCGGCAGGGAATTTTCGCAACAACTATATTCAAAAATGTGCCTGGAACTGACTTGGAAGCGATGTATTTGGAAATGCGAAGTAATAAGTATGTAGCAAATCAGTTTATAATAAAATATCATTTCTCTTGTATTTTATTCGTTTTCAAGACAAGGGAATATAAATACTTGAGATTCGCGACGCGTGTTGCATTGTTAAAATTTTTATATTAACAACAGGGAAAAGTTACTTTGCATGAAAATCAGTCCTAACAAATACAGATCTAATTATATCACTGAAGATCAAGACGAATTTCTGAATAATGATAAAAAATATATGTCACTACCTTTGGTACATGTAATTACGTATGCTAATTAAAGAACTGACGTTTTGAATGGCATTCAAGAAAACAAATAATATTTTGATATTGTTCTTTGTGTAGATCTGCCTTTTTTTTTAAACTAAGGAAACCTATAGACATATTGTTGCAAGATTAATTTGAGAATTGGGATATACAGTTGCTAGATTATTCTATTTATGTTGCTTGATGTATGACTAGATTACAGAACGAAGTGTCTTGTATTCTACATTATCTTACAGACACTTGATAAACATTGTTATATAATGCTGTTATCACATCTAGCCACGCCAGGAGAAACTTTTCTGATAAACAAGTTCTCCTTCTGCTATTGGAGGTTCCTTAGCCGAAGCAATTTCGCTAGAACCGATGCTATTTCGGTTTAGCATTGAGGAATAGTTCAAAATGTTCACCGCGCATGTGATGCACGTCCCGTGGAATGTCTGACTGCACACGTTGTAGTAGATGATGGTGTCTAAAGTACATGCAAAATGAAGAAGAGCAACTAAGTGACTTTCTGTTTAATTGAGACCTAGTTACTACAGAAAGACATAGAGACAAATACAAATGTGTCAGATCTGGTGATTTGAATCAGATTTGGTGGCCATGAAACTAGATCTCCCACGTTCAAGCCAGCTATTCACGTATAGAAGCGCTAAAATGCGAAGAAGTTCTATCATTTTGGAACTACAGTCCATGTAATGTTGCTAAGGGCATGTCATCTCCGAAATCCTTTGATTCCACAGCACGCGCATGCATACCTTGCTATGTGCGGTGAACATTTTGAACACCTTCCTATGTAACGATAATAATTTTTCTATGAATATACCCATGTTCATGTTTCCAATAATTTTTTTCTTGTTCAGGATATGATGTCATACGTTTTTTTCGCGTTTATCTAGAAAGCTATGGGTCGCACGGTTATAATCAGGATTTAGAAGAGAAGAGATAGTTCATAAAGCTTTACCCCCTGAAACAAGAAATGAGGAGTGATGATGTAGTCATGTTGACACTGACTGCAATTCTCAGCAAAGAAATAAAAGTTTTAATTTTGAGAAAAGTAGCTTTAAAAAAACTGTACGTGAAAAAGTATCTTTAATTTAGAAAAGAAGATGTTATTACTGTAAGCATTTATGAGGTTTAAAAAGTTAATCGTACTTATTTATGAATTTTAAAATAATAGGTAAATTACGCTACGTTTTCTTAAAAGCTGCAGTTTTCATTCTCTATGTGTTCATCATTAAATCATAGAGAAAAAAAATATGGCATTCATTACCTTTTCTTCATTTGCATACTAAGTTAGAGAATTTTTTTATTCTTTCTAAGATAACTATAGTAAGAAAAAAACCTTAGTTTGGTAGAGTTTTGAGTATATATGTCATTTCGTTTTTCTGCAACTAAAGAAGACGAACTTATGTTTGACTGCTATTGAAGTTGATAGTATTATTCAAGATTGAGTCTAACCTAAGTTTGCTTTTTTTTGGCTTAATTATAAATTTTACATCGGAGTTTTTACATCTTCTGGTTTGATGTAATAACATATATTTTTTTAATTAATTGTCTAATTTACGCTCACATTTATACACATACATTACATTTAAACAAGTACAAGATCGTTGCCTGACAAAGTTTGACAAAATAACTTTCCATACATAAACATATTACATAAACGATACTTTACAACAGTGGTCTCGAACTTACACTGCACACGGACCAATGCACAATTTGAAAACATTTGACAGGCATCGATCACGAAAAAAAGGCGTGAACTTTTTTTATACAAAAAAAATTTTGTTAGTTAAATAAAAGCATTTTACTAAGTATTTACGAAAACATACGAATAAAAATAACGCAAAGAAAAATATCAAATTTATACTTATATTTTGCTTGAAATCTAAACGTTAGTATCTGCAAGAACTTTCTGTTGGTCACAATTTGGAATTCAAACTCACAACTAAATATTAAATTTTTCAGGCTGGCATTTATTCAACTAATTGTAATATATTGAACACTAAGTAATTTACTTGTAATTTAAATTAATATATACGAAAGTTTCCTAAGAGGGACAAAACTTGAGAATAAATAGTGATAAGCTATTCTTAATCTTTTATTTATGAAATTTTTCTATGATGCAAAACAAAACAAAAAAAATTTTTGTACGTAAATTACTGTAAATATATGTTTTTACTACGCCTTTCTGCTACACCACCTCATGACGTTTCGAATTTCATAAAGTTTGTAATTTTCGAGGGGAATTTCAAAACGTATCATCACAAATTGTAGATACTTATCGACAGTCTGGTTCATTTTGTAGACTTCTGAATTTTTAACTCCTCCCCCCCCAAAAAAAAAAATTCTGTTCTCATGTAAATATACTCAAAAACAAAGCTAATATTTTCATTGAGAAAATTCGTAACTTAAGATATTTATCTTTTCACAATTACCAATAAAAATTGACCAAATTTGTATCTTAAAATCTTTGAACAAGATTTATATCACAGTGCAAATTAAGAAGATATACTTATAGATTTTCTGAAGAGTTACGTTTGTTTTGGCAAAGAATATACCGTAAACCTGACTCTAAACCATTAATTTTTCCTTCAAGTTCTTGTCATAATAATAGGAATTAATTTACGGGAAATGTATTCGTAGGCAGCATAAAATTACTTCGAGAGCCGCCAGTTTGACTTTGACACTGCTTTTCTAGAAAACAATATAAATGATTAAAATTAATTTGAGATGTCTACATTGCTAGTTTTAAACAGGCAAATTCAAAGCAGATGCAACATAGTGATGACGGACTGTTTCCTAATTAAGACACAATAACACGCCGAATAAATATTAAGTCAAACAACAAAAATACAAATGTATTTGCATTTGCGGTTTTGCAGCTGAGGATGGTGGTTCGGTAAAACCATCGAAACTAGTCCTGGAAAAGTTTTGTAAATATAACGGTGATTTTTGTTGTTTGACTTCTGAATTAGAGCTATTTCCTGTTAACCTCCTTTTCCTTACGAGGGTCGTGTTGGCGAGGAGACACACAAAGGAGTGATCTAGCCTTCTATTTAACCCTGCGTACAGTTATTTGGGGAATTTTTATATATTCCAAGCGAGGAATCTGGCTGTACCGAGTTTGGAAGGTCTTCATAGGATACCTTGTATGTAATTCCACTAAACAAACTTATGTTTAAAACCTAGACCATTGCTCCAGAATGTTATGATCATTTTTGTTTAAATATAATTAAATTAGACTACATCCCTTATTCTGAGAATTTCTTTAAAATATTTAATAGCATCAAATTGGGCTGCAATCGGTAAATGAAAGTTATGAAAGTATTGGTAAATGAGCTGCAGAAGATAGTTCATTATGTGAAAATACAGGAGTGAACAAATATATGGAAACACCGAAATGAAAACATATTTCTGTGACCGATATGAAGAAAACCGTTGGCATTCATATCAGCTTACAGTCTTCTCGGGATGGATAAATAGAGATCTTGTATGCTTTGCAAGGGAACATTTGATCTACAGTCCAGGTTTTATGACTTCGGCACTACCTTCTCCTCTTACAGGCATTTTGATCACTGATGAGTGGCATTTGAATTGCAGCTCACGCAAAAATACTTTGCCTTTCCTATTGTTTTGGTGCTGACAGAGTTTGCAAGTGTGACATTCCAGTCAGTCACTTTTGCGGCTGTAAACCTCTTGTCAAATGATTTTAAAAAAAAATAACTTACTCTTTAAATGTTGGCGAATTAAGGGCGCCTTGTATACTGGCTTCCAACTGACGTATCTTTAATTTTGCCATATCCAGCTCATGACGAGTTTTCCACAACTGTGTGTCGCAAACTGGATCTTTGCACCGGTGGTGTCTCAGCATATCTGTAGCTTCATAAACAGCACCTCGAAAACTCAGCGATTTGCCCATACTCTGTAAATTAGAATACAAATTGTGTTACCTTTTGAAGAAAAAAGGAGTTATAGGAAAATATTAGCAGACATTTAAACCAAAATTAGTGAAATTATACGAGAAGGGCAAGATGTGTGACTAAAGAAGTTTTCCATTTTCATAAATGTATATAAAAAAACATTTCCTAATACATTTTCAGCAATATAACGAATTTTGCAATCTGTAAAATGGCAAAATTATCTACATATACTCTGAATACACTGCTCGATATTGAAAATGCACTACCAAGAAGGAGTGGTCAGAAATTTATGCTAATTTTAGAGTAGACGCACGTTACTGAGTTATGTGAATGATGTGAAATGCGCAGCTCTCCGACGCACGTGAAGTAAGATATAACAGAAAGAACGTGCAGAATGGGCAATATTCGTGTCGTTGTTTCTGCCAGACGACTTATCGAAGAAAGTTGAGATTTGTCCCGGAGAATACGCGTAATAGGAGAGAAAGCCAGGCCGCCGTCAACGAAGGCACTTCCAGCAGATAGACGATTTTACGAGGGGTATGGTGATCGGACTGAGAAGGGCGGGTTGGTCCTTACATAGGGATTGAGAAGGGAGGGTTGGTCTGAGAAGGGCGGGCGGGTTGGTCGCAGCTGATACCCACATGCGAGCACGGTGCATCGGCTATGGCGAACATGGTTGGAACGAGGAAATATGGAAGGAGCAGTGCAGGTGCAGCCAGAGTGACGTCAGCACGCGTGGATCGACGCATCAGCCGACAAGCTGTGGCGGTCTCGCAAGTTACTTGTACTGCGATTTTGCAGCATGTGCAAGATACCCTGGATGTTCCCGTGTCACCAGAACCATTTCCCGTCGATTGAACGTGGCCTGCACTCACGGCGCCGTTAAGAAGACTGCCCCTGACCCCACAGCATAGACGCCAACGTTTAGAATGGTGTCGGACTGGAGCAATGTGGATGACAGAATGGCGAAACGTCGTGTTCTCAGATGAGTCACGCTTCTGTTTATCCAGTGACAGTCGCCGCATACGTGTGTGTCGTCGGCGTGGAGACAGAACTAATCTGGCTATAACTGTGGAACGCCCCACCGCGTGACAACGTGGCATAATGTTTGGGGCGCTATTGCCTACGCTTCCAGGTCACCTCTAGTTCGTATTCAAGGCACTATGATGGCCCAACGATACTTGGATAATGTACTGCGGCCGGTGGCAATCCTCCACCTTCAGCGGCCCTGAATGCAATTTTTCAGAAGGATAACGCCCAACCACACAGTGCTCGCATCTGCAAACATTCTCTGCAAGGTATACAGGTGTTTCCCTGGCCACCGTACTCTCCTGACCTGTCACCAATGGAGCATGTGTGGGATGTGATTGGACGCCGTTTGCAGACTCTGGCCCTGCCTCGTTCAGAAGATGAACTGTGGCAAATGGTTGAAAGGGAATGGAGAGCCATCCCTCAGGACACCATCCGCATTCTTTTTTACTCTATGCCTAGACGTGTTTCTTCGTGCATCGCTGTCCGCGGTGGTTCTACATCCTACTGAGCCGACGCCGTTCTCGCTCTGTATTCTGACTATCATTTTGAAATGAGAAAAATATTTATTAGTGTAATACTATATTTTAGGCTTTATTGGTTAATTATACTTTAAACCTACATATGAAAGCTTTCCCAAAGTAAATGCATTATTATTTTAAATAATGAAATATGTTATGATTAATAAAATTTAACTACAATTATAAACAAAATTTAGAGTATTATATTTTTCTGTTTGGGAACTATTTTTTACTGCGGTATGAAACGCAATTTAGATCGCACTTTTTATTTTAGTTGTATAGTTTTAAAAGCTCAGTTCCTTAATGTTTGAAGTACGGAATAAAAATATAGGGTTATTAATATTCTAATTAATAAAAAATTATTTTTTAAATTATAATTTGCTACTGAAATATATAATTAAAATTATTTTCGCTTTTTAAATATTTTGTAACTACAAAGTACAATAGCTCAAAAAAATCTTACTAATTCTATCTTTAAAAGTTTAGTTGTATTAGATCATTAAGGTGTAGCTTAAGCATAAAAGTGCTCCATACGTAAATTATTTCAGATCCACAGAATAATTACTTGTTATAAAGCAGAGAATCGATATTATTCTCTCAACATTGAAACTTTATAGATAACATTTTATTGCTACTCATTGTAAAAAATTATGTTTTATAGCAATATATTTTTATTTTGTATCTCTGTCATTATGGCCTGTTCCAGGTGAGAAGGAAGGAGAAATAGCAACAACTCACACTTCGGTTTGATCTTCTGGACTATTATCTCCCGTATGAATATGGAACAAACTAAGAGTATATTTTGTAAAGAAGTATATTAATGAATGTATATATAAAACCAAATAAAGCTTTGTATATGATTATTATCATACTTGGTTTACTTGCCATTTAAGGTAATCCCTGAAATTTTAAATCAAATTAAAATATTCATTTATTGGACTTTAATTCATGCTACTGAAAGGTTTATTTGTTTAGGAAAATATATGCTGATTTGCATAAATGCGGGATGACTCCCCTTGCTTCACATAATTTTCTCGGAAGCTCCACGATACTTTATAATATTTTCATGTTATTAAGATATCTTCTTCCTCCTGTTCTTATGCTTTCGTGGTATAATGGGAAGCATACTTGACGAATATTCGTGAGGTCTAGGGTTCGAGTTCCGGCGAAGACACTGCACATTTTTCACGTCTCCAGTTTCAAAATAGTCTAATGACTCTAAAACTGGGACCCGAACTAAAAAGGTGGTGGACGATAGTTCGTCACCACCAATATTTGGCGACTGGGTTTCCTAATCCCTAGTCGCTCTTTAAAATGGGAAGTATATGAGGTATTTTCTCGTTCATTTCCGCATGCATAGTTTGCTATAAAATTTGCTTAAACCTTTGCTGAGCGAATGGGAAGAAACAAGGCAGAATAAAAAGTAATCAGCATAAAGACTGTTGTTAATGAAACTTGATCTCACATCATGAATGACCGGAAATTTTAATGAAATGAGAAATATTTGTTTAGAGAAATGTTTATTAGGTAACTTCAAATGTATTACAAGGTATTTTCTCCCTCCTTTCCACATGCCTTCATGGTATAATTGGAAGCATATTCGACACTTATTCGATAGGTTCAGGGTTCGAGTCCCGGCTAGGGTATTCCACATGTTTCATGTCTTCTGTTTTAAAAACAAAAAACCTAATGAGTCTACAGTCTGATACAATATACTTGTAATAAATTCATATAATATAAAGTGATGGATGATTCAAAATATATCAGAGTAAATAATGAATAGGGATATAGTAGAATTCGAAACGTTATTTATTTGCTGGAAACATTCTTATCCATTCGAGAATGTTGATCTGTATAAAGATCTTCTAAAGCTTATCCTCATCAGTTTTCGAATGTTACTTAACTGATGTTGCTAACTCTTCTTATAAATGCAGTTTATTTTTGTAAGTAAGAAGTTTCTAGTATCCGCATGCACACATATCACGAGGAGCTCAAATGGATGGATAAAATGGCTAGAGCCGTTTGTAGAACACTCTTCGGCAAAAAGAACAGGTCAATATATTTGTTCAAAATCTTCGGATATTTACCTCGGTGTTATTTGACAAAATAATATCAGCATGCAGATAGGGGCGAGAAAATATATTTCGTTCTTCACATAGAGGAATATCTAACGAACTAAACTTTGTAACATTTGTAGATTAATTTAATTTCACAGCTATCGAATGTTTACATGTTGAAGTTGGAAGTACTGTAATAGATTTTGGAACTTAATAAATATATAATTTGATGAAAAATATGCACTTAATTCTAATTTTAAGAAAATTTGTAAATAATTTAAAAATCCCCATTTACTTACAAGACTTATAAGAGTGAAGCAATCACCAGTGTCTTTTTTGGCAAGATGTTTTCTTATATACTTGAAATAAATATGTTCTAATAGTAACACTAAGATGGTGAATAAAACTCCACAACCTAATAGAAGAAACGCACTCATGAACTGGTTCACATCTAACGGTTTGCTTACATTCCGTTTATTCCTTGTCGGTTTACAAGCACCTTGAAGCCAAAACCTTTGCAACCGCTCAAGGTCACCTGAAAGAGATTAAATCATTGAAAAGCATGTGCAACATTTAAAAGAACTGCACTGATAAAGTCACTGGCATAAACAAGTAATAGTTAGCAAAGTTATATATATATATATATATATATACATACATACATAATGCATCTTTTGTCTCGTTCACTGTGCAGAGATGTATGGCCATTAATGATTCGAAAAAAAGATTTCATAGTACGTGTACATATCATAAAACGTTCTTAAAGTTATACTAAATAATGCACATTTGGATGCGAACTATGGTCATATGGAATTCTGAAGTAATTTCTAAGGTAATGCTCTAAACCTCTGCTTCAATCGTAACTCGAGTGCAAAACTTTTGAGTTGCCGGATTAATCAAAATTCTGTACAAACAGAGATATTGAAGTGATTTTACTTTTAAAATTCCTTATATTTGCATAAATATGTACTTCCTTCGAAACAAAGTTAATTTTTACGTAATGAATAAAATCAAATATTGACTCCCTAAATGCTGCGCTGTCCAAAGTTCAAGTGATATTTCGCAGTAAAGGAGACTTATTTTTCGGATATATCAGGGCATGAATACCTTAAAGATATATTAAGCAAAATATGAACTGTAGACAGGAAAAATGGCTTAAGATTTGAATTCTGATCTAGAGAACGAGAGATTTGAAACTGTTTTGCAGCTCATGCACAACCTTTTCGGAGTTTAATAAAATTCGTGCAGCGTGTATGCAAGATATTTTGTGAAAGAATACATGCAGTTCCTTAGATAGCTAAAAGAGGCCTAGCAATTAGAGAAGATGTCTGCCGATAACATCGCGGCAAAATCATCGCTGGCGAAAACGTCGGGGAGAAAACAACGCAATGCGAAAACGTTATGCTACAAAACATCGTGGGAGAAAACATTGCAAAACATCGCAGTTCTAAAACATCGTGGTACAAAATATCGTCGTCGAAAATAAAGCGGTTCAAAAACTTCTCAGTTTAGAAACATCGTTTTCGAAAATATCGCGGTAAAAAATAAAGCATCGACAAATCATCGCAGGACGATAACATCGCAGACCTGCTTTTAGCAGGCTTTAGTAATTGTAAATGGATATTCCCATATTGATTTGTGAGCGCGATATGGAAAGAAAGATAATTTTTACTTTCGTATTTTTTAAAAACTAATAAATTTTTGCTGAAAAAGTAAGAAGGAAACTTAATACTTAAGAATAAACTGAAGCAGAACAAGAAATAAATTTCATTATAAGAGTATTAGATTGACAAAAGTGAAGAAATTAATCTCATAATTAGCAATTTTTCATAGATAAGGTCACACAGTTACAAAGCTTCCTTTTTCTAAACATTTTTATATTATACTTTTAATGAAAAATTACCAGTAAAAACTTTATAAAAATGATTTATTAATGATCTTTGTTAGCTAACTATGTCAGTTTAAAATTCTATTAAGTGCTATAAGTTGCCTTAATTTTCTATGCTGAAATTTCCTTCTTACGTTTTCAGCAAAAATTTATTAGTTAATAAAAATATTAAAGTAAAGATTAGCCTTCTTTCCATCTTACCCTCAATCATTATGGAAACATCCATTTACAATTATTAAAGCCTGAAAAAAGCATGTCTGCGATGTTATCGTCATGCGATGATTTGTAGATACTTTATTTTTTACCACGATATTTTCGACGACGATGTTTTTAAACTGCGAAATTTTTTAACCGCTTTGTTTTGGACGACGATATTTTGAATCACGATGTTTTAGAACTGCGATGGTTTCTCCCACGATGTTTTGTATCACGACGTTTTCGCCTTGCGTTGTTTTCTCCGCGACGTTTTCGTCCGCGATGTTTTCGGCTGTAACCTTAGAGAAGTAGATCTAAATATTAGTAAATCTTTATAGTTTCAGTTAAATGTAGCTTAGTATCTTCTATACGGAACTTTTATAGTTTTCTTCATATCTGCTTAGCTCCAAGCCAATTTCGCTTTGAATGCTCTACAGTGTATTCATACACCTTTGAGGCGTCTGATTGAACTAAGTTTCAATAAAATATATTCTTATCTTTAAGATACATGGAAAATCAATGGAAAATGAATATCTCATGAACTCAATAAATAAAGAAATTCAAACTCGTTTCCCAAGCAAATTAAGCCATGCTAATAAGCATCTAATGTTAAACTATTTTAACATAAATATTTTCAATATAATATAGTTTCAATAATAATGCTATCCTAACGTTGCGCATATTCATTAAAGAACGTCAGTTATAAATATATTGTATTCTTATAATGATGTATTTTAGCCAAGAAAGACTTAAATTCTCTATAATGGAATGGATAGTGTTATATAATTACGGTTGAGCAATCTTGGGTTATTTGCCTGAGGAAAGGGTCGTTCAAATAATTTCATAAAAGCTATTTAAAATATTATGGCTATTTTTGTATTAATTGCATGTTTATAAACTTTTGATGCCATCCGACGTGAAACAAGTATTCTGCTTAAAAACGCTTGTCGCTAAAGCTTCATTTCTGAAATGCTGGAGTGCTGAAACAGTTTTAGCCATAGAAATAAAAACACAATTTCCAATCATCAATTGATTGGCTGAAATACAGTCTAGTTTCTAAGTACATTAACTCTGTGCTTCAATGGCAGAATGCCTCCGTTCATAGGAGTAATCTTGAAGAGTGGATTTTATATATACGTCCGCTAGCCGAATTATTTCTACCAAGAGATATCTGAAACACTTTTCCTTTTTAATTATTTTCTTCATGTCTTTAGTTGGCTTATTTTATTTTAACATTTTTTAATGTTAGTGCAATTAGAGATTTTCTTAGCTGCGACATTTTTTTCGGAATGACTGAAGGCTCATCCATGTTTGTAATGAAATTTATGGCTTACTTCTATTAATTTTATTTTATGAATGTGCCCTTCTATCATTTTGCGGTGGTTAAGACATTGATATTAGTATTATTATTTTGGGATATTTAAGATATTCTTATTCACACATAGGTTGTCCTTGGATAATTGATAAGAATTACCTATCTTTAAATAAAAAAACTATTTTATTTGACTTAGAAAAGTGAAAAACAGATTACATCTTAGCAAGGTAGCTAAAATTTGATATTATTAATACTTCCGGTTTTAAATGTTTTGTTATCTGAGAACGGAGAAGCATATGAGAGCTATCTTAACTTGTGATGTCATCTAAAGGACCTTTATAAGACAATCTTGATAATATTTCACATTACAAATAGGTAAAACCATTAAAACTTTCGTGCTTTCAGCCCGTTACTCAGGATTCGAATCCGGGTCTAATTATCAGTGTCTGGTGATCCCATTAATCAAACAAACCATTGATGGACCTCTTGGGTTCTGATAGGGTAATGAATGAATCATAATATAAGAAATTCATTTGGTTGTTATTTAAGAAAATTTCTTATGTTACCTTTATTAGCACACATTTATATGAAAAGCCCATGAATGGCATTACTAAAACTCCTGATTTAGTAGCGTGGTCTGTGATGGAATCCATGTGAAAAGCCACATGCATAGAATGTTTCGTGACGTCCTTACCCCTTAAAAGTGAATACGAACCAGTACTTTTGTTAAGTTTGTCATTAAGACATAATTTCCTTTAAGATAGCTTTTATATGCTTTGTTACCTTAAAAAAGAAGTATGCGAGACTTTAAAAATTTATGACAAGCCATACAGAATTACAGGTGACTCTACTGAACTTCCAGAAGCACGTATGGATGCATGGTAGGTACATACGAATGCACAGTACGTATGGATGCACGATTTCAGAGTATGCACGTATGGATGCAGAGTAGGCACGTATGGATTTAGAGCCGGAGTAGATATGTATAGATGTACATTTTTGGCAACTTGAAGCAATAGTTTTTCAAAGATGTTGTGGAATAATTATGCGATATAAAACTGGCACAAGAGTAATTTTACGAAGACGATGTTACACTACAGGAGAGCGATGCAAGTGATAACAATGCCTATTTGTTTAAATAATTTTCACAAACCACGCAAAGGCTGTTTAGATTAAGCATTTTACAAGAAAATTTCGTTCTTATTCCATGTTGCACATTTGCGTTGAGAGTAGAGGAAAGATTTTAAATGCTTAGGCTTCAAAGGCGTAATAGAATTTCAAGATGATATGCATAATTTCCAATTAATGCATACCTTAGACTATAGTTCATTATCTTAGAATAGGTTGTTGTATAGAATGCTATGGTTATTACATTAAACCATGCCATGGTCAAACATTATCACTGTAATCAGAGCAATGAAACTACAATATTACTCTAGGCTGTGCCCCTCTTCCAAAAAGAATATAGGATATATCAAGTCAAAGAACCCAAAGAGGAATTTCATGAATATTCGAATTTGCAGATGGTAGATTACTAGAATGTTCGACGAATTTGTCGATTACCTAAAACGTTAATTGTTTCATCAATTATTTTGTAATATGATATATGTTGTGCCTGTAATGATACCTTACTCTTTATTCAATAAAACTTTACAGTTATTTGTGAATGATATCTATCTACTAAAGTAATTAAGAAGTAGAAAATTCTAAACTATTATGATATGGGTAATTACTATCTCTCTAATATGTAAAAATATTCTATGATTTAATATTTTTTCTCTGATTACTTTTGTAAATGTTGACTTTCTTATAAATTATGAGTATAGTAAGGGACAATAAATAGAATAAAAAACGCTTTACCATTTTCTCTGTACTGTATCATAGCTCTGTTAAACATACTGAGATACTTGGATTTCTTTGGAAGTGCAAAACCATAGCCGGTCATAGCATACCACGTCCCGACCGTTAAAAGTCGGCATTCGTTGTCTTGCCCAGCAAGATATTCAAGAACAGTAGCATCATATATGAAGGCATCCAAATCACTGAAAATCACATTTAGATTGAAAACCATCTTTTACAGAAACAAAGAATGCATATTTTTAAATTAATCACCAAATAATGTGGTAATTCTTATTTTAGTTCAAACCTATGTTAAACTAAATTATGAGCAATCAATAAAACACCATTCTTTCTTACTAAAATTTCTTAATTCTCTAAAAATAAATATTGATGACTTTTCTTCTTAAATATTTCTGTAAAATAAATTTTACACATAACATATTTTTTCACAAAAAATTATTTATGAATAGCGTTTTCCTTGCCTTAATTTTAGCTCAACTACACATCAACAAATTAGAGTTTTTGTAATTGCAGCTATGAATATTCTTATAGTAATTTCGGCACTCGTGCTCAAACTGTAACATAAAAGGTTCCATGAACCTCGCATTGCGTAATCACAAAACGAACAAGTATAAGTGTATATAATGCATACTTTAAATTTAAAAAAAAATATTTGGATGATTTTCCGTGAAGGTATTTTTTGATATTAATGAAGCATACGTCTTTAAGGAAAAAAATAACTCTTTTGCTCTAACGTTTTGTTCAAAAATTAATGTTTCAAGGAATGATAATATTCGAAATTGAATTTAAGCTTATGTTAACAGTAGCAATATAATTCATTCTGAAACTCTACCAGGACAAGAGAATTATACCTGAAAAAATATGCGTCAATGATAGTCATTTTATTAGAAGAATTTGAAATACGATTATCTTATAATATTATAAACATTAAGATTAGTATCTTAATGTTTTCAAGATAATAAATTAGTTGATATTAGATTTGACTACAAAACTTTCAAATGGAAAGTATAGAATTACAATGATATAATCAATGAAAATTTATTTAAAGAGCAATTAATTTTATCATTTGCATTAACAGTATTAGTGGTCAGCTATTTTAGTCTCTGTAGAGTGTTTGAGTGCCTTCTACGATTTACGCATTTAGAGATATTAATTTAAGACAATTTTGAAAGTTTTCCAACCGAAAGTCTATTTATGCCCAATGTTATGCCTAACGTCTCAAATCTTATAAAAGGAGAGTTTAATTATAGCAGTCAAAGTTTAAACGGAATTCTACCATCCGTTATAAAGTAACAGTGCGTATCGGAAATGCACTAAAATTTGCAACAAAACTCAGGAACTCTACGTCTGTGATGACTTCGTGGTTTAATAAGGCACCATTTAGCAAGACGAAACAAACATTTATTAAATATATAATTCAAAGCATAATATAATAGTTACTCAGAGCAGTACGTCGCTCCTACCGCATAGTACAATCTACTACCTTCCTCTTCCGAGGCTAACATGCAACTCCTAATAAATACATTAACCCTTCTCGAAGAAGACCTACCTGCGCCAAGCATGCTCTGTTGATCGCCAAACAGTCGCCAGATGTCACACCCCCGTCGTAAGATTGTTGTTGATATTATTTACAAATCAATCAGCAATCTGGAAACTAAAATCTAGCAACTGTTTGCGATCAACGTGAAAAAGAAAAAAAAACTACATATACTTTTATACATTCTCTCCTAATTTTCAAATCTCAATTACTATAGACATACCTCAATTTACTACATAAACATAGATAACACATTTTTATATATAAACATAGATAAATCATTTTTAACTTCACTTGTTCCGAACCTTATTATTATTGTAACAATTTATCAATTCTTAATTCAAAGAAACCAAGTTGATATTTTCTTTTATAAACATGTTAAAATATACCCTAGTATTATTCCAATGATGACAGTAAAATTATTAAGTTTCTTATATATATATAAAATTATATTCTTAACATTCCTTTTAATTAATGATGCTGCAGCATGATTTAAATCCTTGGGAGACAAATATCTAAATTTACCACTTACCTCGAATATTTGTTATCCAATAATTTCTCTATCTATTTCAAATTACATAAACATCTTATTTGCACAAAATTGTAAAATGATTATGAAAAGCAAAGAAAACTATCTAATTATTAACTATACAAAATGTTCGTGAAGATGAACAGTAAATTAATGTTCAAAGTTCACAAGTGGGAAGTCTGGATAATGCATCCGCGTTTGACAGTTTTTTTCCAGGGCAATGTTCTATTTCGAGATTATATTTCTGCAAAGCTATGGCCCATCGTTGTAATTTGGACGATTGCGGAGCATTTCTCACTATAAAGGCTAGAGGATTATGATCAGTCACAATTTTCACCGATGAACCGAATATCCAAGGTTCAAACTTCTTCAATGCCCATACTATAGCATAAGCTTCACGCTCTATAGTCGGCCAGCTCTGTTGAGGTTTCGATAATTTCTTGCTCGCGTAGCAGATGGGAAATTGCTTCTCTCCCCTTTGCTGTGACAAACATGCACCTATTCCGATTTGGGATGCATCAGAATGAATGACAAACGGATCCTGCAGTGTTGGGGTGATCAGCTCCGTTGACATCGCTAATCGTTCCTTCAGTTGTTGAAATGTTGACTCATGAATTTCTTTCCATTCGAGTATTTCCGGGTTCGGTTGTTTATTTTTCGTGAGTTCTGTGAGTGGGTAGGCGATCTCTGCATACCCTGGGATATAATCGCGATAATAATTACATAGTCCTAACAGACTTTTAAGATCTCTTTTCGTTTTCGGCGTTTCCAGCTTCTTGATTGCCTCTATTTTCTCGGGATCTGGTTGATGTTTTCCTGATCCAATGATGTGTCCTAAATATTTAATTTGAGGTTTTGCAAACGAACATTTCTTCGAATTGATAGTAAATCCAAGTGACTCTAATTTGGTAAAAACTTTATCCAGATGTCGGAGATGAGTGTCGAAATCCGTGGAAAATATAGCTATGTCATCAATATAGGCTCTTGAAAATTGTTGAAATTCTTTCAGCGCGTTATTCATTACTCTCTGAAAAGTTGCTGCTGCTGCGTTCCTTAATCCAAAGGGTAGCACTTTAAACTGATATTGACCTCGATGAGTTTTGAACGATGTGTACTCTTTACTTTGTTCCTCCATGGGAATTGCCCAATATCCTTTCAGCAAATCTAAAGTTGTTATGACGTTGGCTCTTCCTATACTGTACATTAAATCAATGGCATTTTGCATAGGAAAGTCATCTGGCTTCGTCACTGCATTCAAAGCTCGATAATCTAAGCACAATCTGATATCTCCATTTTTTTTTGCTTACACAAACTACTGGATGAGCTATTTCTGCATTACTTTCTTCTATTAGTCCCGATTTCAATAATTCTTCTACTTCTTCATCGACCTTGGGTTTCAATGCTTCAGGAATCCTATAAATGTAAGGTTTCTTCCTCTCCATATTGGGTATTAATCTAATTTTATGAGCTTCAACTTTAGCTATTTTCAGCTTTCCGGTGAATAGTGCTCGGTGTTTGTTGATAAGAGCTATCAATTTTCTTCTCTGCTGCGGATTCAAATTTTCTAAATTCAGATTTGCATCTATTTTAAAATCTTCCAGGGGGGTCGAGAGATCGAGAGATCTTTTCCTGGTAAAGTTATAATTTCTCCAAATTCTTCTTCATTTTCAAATATCACTCCAACTGCATTGACACTAGCTTGGAATTTTCTAATTTTATTTGCATGAACATGTTTGATCTTTCCATCAGGTAGTTTTACTTTATAGGAATGAGGTGGGCAATGATTCACGATTTCTCCTGGACCAGTCCATCGTGCATAGAGTTTGTTATTTGAATCTGGTATGAGTAAATAAACTTGTTCTCCGATTTTGAAATTTTTTGGTATTGATCTCCGATTAAAGTACTCAGCATATTTTTGTTGTTTATCACTTGCAATTAAATTGGCTTGTTCGGCTGCTTGTTCTAACCTTATTTTTAAAAGTTTGTAAGTAATCCACTGCCGATTCACTTAGATTAGGTGGTATAGGTATTTCTCCTGACCATGAAGACTTCAGTACTGCTAAAGGACCTCTTGGTTGTCTTCCATACATCAGCTGAAATGGTGAGACACCCCGTGGTGCAGTTTGGTACTTCTCTGTATGCAAAGAGCAGGTATGGGATGTGCTTATCCCAATTCGAAGGATCAGTCCTGATGACATGATGTAACATTTGCTTGAAGGACTTGTTCCATCTTTCTACTAATCCATTTGAAGCACTGTAAGCAGGTGTAGAGAACCTAGGGTGAGAACCTAGTCTTTTCTGGAATTCTTTAGTTAATTTTGAAACGAAGTTACTTCCGTTGTCACTAGCTATTGTATTAGGGATTCCTGTTCTCATGAAAATCTCCAAAAGCGCGTCGCAAGTGGCTTTTGCTGTCAAGCTTCTCAGTGGAATGGCTTCTGGCCATCGGGAATGTTGATCTACCAGACATAACACATATTTATGTTTCCTAGCAGAGGAAGGTTCAATAGGTCCAATAATGTCGATGTTAACTGTTTCGAAAGGTAATCCTGGCCTTCTGACCCGGTGTGATGTGTGATGGGAATCTTGTCAGATCGCTTTTCTGGACTTTTCAACTGACAATCTTTGCACGTTTTACAAAAGGTTTCAACATCTTGTGCTAATCCAGGCCAATAAAATGAATATCGTATTCGCTCCTTTGTTTTTCTTATCCCAAGATGTGCACCGAAAATGGAACTATGTGCTAATTCCAACACTTGTGCTCTTCTACTAAGTGGAAGCACTAACTGAAAAACATTCTGTCCTAATATTTTTTCTTGGTGATGTAAAAGATGATCAATAAATAAATAATTTCCTTTTTTTTCTATTGCTAGCTTCCATGCTTCTCTCAGCGAGGGACAGTTAACTTGCTCTTCGCGTAGGCGTTCAGCAGACGATAAGTCTGTGTTTACATAAACACTCGCCTTCTTCCCTTCCTCCTCTTCGTTTTTTCCCTCCATAAGCATTAGCGGGGGGGGGGGGAATCGACGCTGTCGTTTGACTGTGCATTGGCGAATAAAGTTTGTAAGTTTTCGCTTCCGTAATTATTTCTTTCTGCGTTTGGTTCTTCTGCCGCA